CCTTTCTAATCTATGCTTACAAGGATGCTTCATTCACATCCCTCATACACATTTTCAATGTGCTCTTGCTCAAAGGCCATTTAGACATGAATTCTGTCCCTTCCCCTCACTTCATGAGGTTCCACAAGAATAACTTCCATCTCCAACTACTTTGGTATGGATTTTAATGCCCTGGGAAGTTCTAGCTGCAGTCAGACACCTTGGAAGGTGTATTCATTTCCTTTGCTAATAATCATATTGCTTAACCCAGACTGTTCAAACTTCAGCTCTTCAATCTTTCAGATTTCAATAACTTCATGATAAATATTACATCAGACACTGCATATAAACAAAAGATATTATGCATCTGATTTCTGGTATGTTAGCAATTTCTCACAGACGTCTCACCTTCTACAGCAGATGCAAATGTCACCTCAATAAAAAGTGATCTACTTGATGCATTTGAGAGTAAATTCTTTCCCTCCCCTTCACTCTGCCTTAATATGTTCACTTTTGCAAGAAAAGGTTTAAAGTAGTTTTGAGCTGATTTTTTGCTATCAATTTTTTGTTGCCAAATCAACAACTAACATTTTCCAAATCCCCAATATGTCAAGGGAATAAGGGAAAAACAAATTTCTATTTGGTATTCAGATCAACTCATCCACACAAAGTTTTATTCTACTGTAGTCAAAGCAAAATTTTTACTAAAGGAAGTGCTAAAAACTGCAGGACATAATTTTGGAATGGTACAGGAATCACAATATTCAGAGGAAGGTACCTAGTCTTTGTAAGATATCCAGTCTTACAAAGAGTTAATGTAACAAACTATTCTCCTACAGTATCAGATGACCAGTTTTCTGCCACCTATCACAACTGAACCTGAGAAATGAAATATGAAATCATAATTTATCAAACTGAGAGGGGGATAATTGGAAAGAAATTAAATAACAAAGAAAAAATAATAGAAAAAAAAAATGGTAGATGAACAAAGCTTGACCCTACAGAGCAGAGGAAAAGAAAGAGATAAATTGAGACCAAATCATTGCATTCCGACACAGTAAGGTGTGTCACACTAGTTTTTCAACAATTTTTGAATGAAAGAATTTCACACAGTAAGTTTAAACAAAAAGAATATGAAGCATAAGAAATATATTATAAACAGTGTTATCAGCTGTAGAGACAGAAATTTAAATGGCATTCAATAATGCAGGTGAAGGCTGTCTGGTAGCTCATCTCTTCCATATTAGATTTCTCAGATCATTTCAGAATCCAATGTTCCATCCTTGTCATGGCACAGTCTTTAGTCTTTTTGTGAAATACTGAAGGAATTGCTGCTGACTTGTCCTGTTCTCTGTTTGACCCTTAAGGGTTGACTTTGGTTCTGCCTAAGGGCTCTTTCTTCTAAGACAAAACCCTCGAGATTCTTGGTGCTGTCTTGCCTGCTGGCAAGGGGCACTGCCAGTTTTGCACGCTCACGCTTTGTGACTGTAGTCTTGTTAATCTCCAGCTGTGTAGAGCTAGCTTTGCCCACACAAACAAACATTCAAGAGACAAGCTTTGTTCTAAAGACGGCTATGGAATTTGTTAGGTAAAAAGAACTTTTGTTTTGATTTGAATATCTCATTTCTTCTGTTCTGTTTCAAACTCTGGGGCATGCCTCATTTTCAAATGGAGATTTTCATTATGTTTAAGAACATAATTAATTATGAAGCTGTATACACTTAATTTGTAAGTTTTGGACTTTTCCATAAAGCATGGAAGACAACTAGTTTCTCAGCTGTTACAAAACAGGAAACAAAACCAGACCCTGCATTGACTACTGTGACTTTACTATAAATACCTTCAAAGGGGCACAGTGATTTAAAATTCACAGGCATTCATCTTAAAATGAACCAAAAGAAAATATTGATCAAACAAACTGGCAAAATGCAGCCACTTGTAAAATGACCAGCCAAAGAAATGCAGAGAAAGAGCTCTATTTGCTAGGACAATGTGAAACATTTGTCATTCACACCAGAAGCAGAATCTGGTCAGAATTCAAGGATATATACTTAGTACTGATATCAGATCAATATCACTAGAGTCCAATGAAGATGAAAGCCTCTTACTGAAAATATAAATTACCTTTTACCATCAAGATTTCAAGTTATATTAAAACAGCCCTCTTATCTTCCCCTACCTTCAGTCAAAATGTCATTTCAAGAATAGTTCACATGGAACACAATTTAAGCAGGAAATCAGAGACTGAAACATCAATTCATTAGGTTTCCTATTTCTCAGGAAGTCTTAAGAGCGGAGAAGTTCAAACTTCACTTAATATGTTGCAGATGAAGATATCACAATGTCATCCCCTCCAATTTCTTTCCATATTTGTCTTGAGGGTGTGTAACTTCTTTTCCCAGTGTAAAGCCCGAAATAACAAATGATTCCCTATGGCACTGAGGTTGGGTTCATAGAACCATGCAATGGGGTCACCCCAGCCTTCTCTTCTCCAAGCTGAGCAAACCAAGTGACCTTAGATGCTCCTCATAAGTCTTGCTCACAAGACCTTTCACCATGTTGGTTGCCTGTGGACACAATCTAATAGGTGGATGTACTTCTTTTGTGGCCCCCAAAACTGCACGCAGTACTCAAGGTGGGGCTGAAGCATAGAGTGGAACAATAATCCCTCAACCAAGCAGCAATGCCATGCCTGATGTACCCCAGGACTCAGCTGGCTCTTTTGGTTACCAGGGCACTGCATATTCAATTTGTCACTGACCCAGTTCCCCAGTTCTCATTCTGCAGGGTTGCTTTACAGACTTTCTCTGATTTGTACACGCAACCACATTGACCTCTCCCCAGTGGAGAATCCTGCACTTGTTCTTGTGACTCAAATTGCAGAAGTTTCTGGAGAACCGTTGCCAGTGGGATGGATTCACAATGGAAAAGTTCACAGAGAACCATCTCCCTTGGGAAGGATCCCATTCTGGAGAAGGGGAAGGACTTCTTCCCCTGAGCAGTGGTGGAAACAGCCCAGGATAAACTGATCTTAACCCCCATTCCCTGTCTTCCTGCACTGCTGGATGGGGGGAGGTAGAGCTGGGAATGAGGGAGGGATGAGGGGAGGGTGTTTTAATGATTTATTTTACCTGTCATTATCCTGCTCTGATTTTGTTAGTAATAAGTTCAGTTAATACCCTCAGTTTGAGTCTCTTTTGCCCATGAGGGTATTTGGGGAGTGATCTCTCCCAGTCCTTATCTCAGCCCATTAAATGTTCTTTTTGTTTTCTCTCTCCTATCCAGTTGTGGAGGGGACTGACAGAGCAGCTTTGGTGGGTGCCTGGCATCTGGCCAGGGTCAACCACACTACACTGCTCATGCTGTTTGTATTAGTATAAAGGCACTTTAAATGTGCTCAGGTGTACTCAGCACATCACTGAGCAGACTGGAGGACCTGTTAGCACACCATCCCACAGACATTGGCGTGCTACCCCCAGGCTTTTCTCTAGTGAGCTTGGTTTTAACCCGTAGAAAAATGTAAGAAGACACCTACAACACAGTAAGGGACCAACACTGGAGCCTCTGGATCTCAGACCAGTTCCAACCATAAACAAACTATTCCTCTTTTTTTTACTTATAGTAAAGTACCTAAGACAAATTGGTACATTTTTTTTTGTAAAGGCTGCTAGTCCCTCACTAAAAAAAGCCACATAAACTCATTTCTATTAGATAATAGAAAACCAAATTAGGTCTGGAGGAGCTAGGTTGAATTGATTAGCAACAAGTTTGAGTGGAAGATTTTTGAAAAGCAGATCATAAGCTGAAAACTATCACCACATGTATAAATGCAGGAGGCAAGGCCTCCCTTTCCTGTATCAAACCCTTCTTCTGTCATGATTTTGTGAATTGTAGCAGTGGATTCTCTGAGCAGTCTTAATGAATGAATGTCAGGGAACTGGAGGGAGCTCATCAGCAGCAAAAAGGAAGGTATTTCCCAGACACATTTGAAAGCCTAGCCTAGTATTCAACCAGCCAAAACATTTATACTGAGCAAAGAAAATATATTTCCCCATTAAATGATATTTTATGGGTTTTTGGTGTCTCACGAGATGTGGGAATAGATCCTTACAAAAACTTTTGCATCAAAAATCTCATTTTATTTTCTACTAGTATGATTTTCCACTGTTATTTTTCTTGCACTCTGCATACATTAAGATGCATTAATAAAGAAAAGAAACAAGACAGCCTGTCAGATATTTCAAAATGTACCATGGGAAATGATCGGTTTAGGATGAGTGAACAAAATCTGTTTGTTCAGCAAACTTAATTTTAGCTGAGAACCAAGAAATGTGTATACAGCAGGAACATATGATCAGTTAGTGGGGCTCAAATACACACCTATAGCTGGGCTTTTGGGACAGCAGAAAATGTTTTGATGCTTCATGCCTCAACTCTGCCTTTTAACATGAAGGAAGAAGCATTACAGGTACTCTGAGGAATGACAGATTTTTAGTTTGCACATTCTCTTGGACTTCTGAAATGCTAGGAACACAAACACCCATAATTAAGGTTTCAGGGTAGGAAGAGAGTCTCCACAAGCACGGTAGCTGAGATTGAAAGAACCCAATAAAACAAGATAATGTACTTTTAAAAATTCAGCTATTAACTCTCCCTGTGAAAGAACATTTTACTCTGTTAAATTGTTATAGAGTTTATAAGCTGGTATTTTCAGGGTTTTCATTCCAATAAGGAATTTCTTGGAAAGTTACTGTAAATTTGTGACTTGTATTCTCTAACAGGTCCACAGGAAAACAAGAAAACCCTTGTAAGATGCAGCATCTAAATTCTCTCCCACACAAGGATGGGAACTGAAACTCAGCACAGTTTAAGAAGCTCTGGATTCAGAAGACTGTGTATGAACTGTCAGACAACAGCAGAGGCTTGTGCTCCCCTTCTCTACCAGTTTTCTGCCATGCATTCCAGCCTATCCACGGAGCCTGAAAAGCTGACTTGCATAACAATGCCCTACCATGAATTACCTTTTCAGGAGGTTTACCGTCTCGGGAGGTGATGCTTCTCCTCGTTTCCCAAACTACCCCTGGACCTTCTCATCCTACTAGCCCACTGCAGACTGTTCCACAGAGCGGCTTGGACCCCCCCACAGCATCCACCCTGTGGAAGAAACACAGATTGAGAAACTGTGATGCAGAAATTAAATCTTCTCTAGACATTATTTGAAGACATTGAGAGAGAATAACTCAGGTACTTATTCTAAATAACTAAACCTAAATAATTCTAGACCATGATCTAGAGTTGTCATACACAATCTGAGAAGGGAGGGCAGGTGAAGGATTACCATGCCCCCTCAATGTACACAGGTAGAACAGAACTGCTGAAGGCACTGTTAATTTCAAGAAGACTTTTAAGGCACAAATATAAACAGATATTTCAAGGGGAGCAATTAGCCAATAATGTGATCACCTAATCTTGCATATGACAGCTTTGCCTTGCCTGTTAGAAATGCCTGTATTTTTGCATACTCAGCAGTAATAGGATTACTGGGTGGTTACTTCTGTAATGAGTATTTTCATCATACACCATACAGGGCAAGGTGGTTGAAATTAGGCCTTTTCCTGCCATTAGTGACAGTGAAACTTGTATATGTGCACCTCTTGAGGGCAAGGCATTCCTTCCATCACTGGCAACTTTCTTCTAGAGTCTTATATGCACACCATGGTAAAAATAAAAATTGGAAAAAAGTTTAAAAAAGCAATTAATTTGATAAACAATTTTCAAGTTATAGCCTCTATATACTGCATCAAATTTCTGTATCAGTAATAAGTAAAGATTAGAAACAACAGTCATGCATAAAGTTTCATAGCTTCAAAACACAGATAGGTATGAGATGTAAAACAGACCTTATTTTTTCAAATCTTTTAATTTGAAATCTTTTAAAAACATTGTTCATTTGCTAAAGAAAAATAAATTCTACTGTCTTTTGTTTATTACAAAACAAAAGACAGTAGAATTTATTTTTCTTTAGCAAATATTATTTACATTTTATTTACATTATTGTATTGTTTACAGTTGAGTAAATCATGTCTTCAGATAACCCATAAGTCACTGATTCTCTTTTTCAAAGACCTGCCTGCTTTCTATTCCTTTGGCCTTGGCTGCCTAGCAACCCCCACAGAGCTTTCTTAGTCTATACTAATTCTGGAGAGTTTTCATTAACAAATTTATTTACGAGAATGTCTATAAGGAGGATATAGAAACAAAGACCTGTTTGTTCCTTCCTTCTAGGAGTGGATTCCAAACATGTCATCTCAGTGTCCCAGTGCAGGACTGGGTTTTGCAGAGAGGTACCTGCCTCCTCGATTTTGCTGGGGAACCAAGCAAACCTCAGTTTCTGTTAAAAACAAACCCTTAGTCTCTGTAGGAAGCTACTGATGTAAGTGGCAGTGGTATTTCTTGCCCTGCCTGTTGGTTTGATTCATTGATAAGATTTTTCACACTGAAATCCTAGGTGCTGATGTAAGGTTACTGTGCTCATGCAGCCCACAGCTCTTACTTAACGTGAGGACAGTTTGTGCTACTGCTCTGGGTCACCAACAGTTCCAGTATCAACCAACCTCTAGAGGGAAATGGAGATTAAAGCCGATGTGCTGGGTCTGTGACTCAAAGCAGGACAATCTGGAAGGTTTGGATGGGACTGCTTGTTATAATAAGTACTTTGAAACTGTCTTTCCCTGAGCCAGACATCAGCTTTGCATAGAAAAGACTATTTCCTCAGGGATTTTGTTGTTGTTTTTTGGTTTTTTTTTTATTTCCTTCATTATAAGTGCAAAATCGAGGATGTCACAGATAATATCCCTATGCTACATTAAAAAAATACTTATTCTCTTGCCAGTTCTATTCAACCAGCACTTTACAAATACTTTATGCCCTTATCAACACAGCAATATCCTCCAGTCGAAAATAAGGGGGGGGAAGAAAAAAGAGAGAGGAAGAGATGGTCAAATATGTGTCCTGAAGAACTTAACAGGCCCTCTCTAGTGATGTGGTAAAGAAATGCCAGGTATTCATAGCCTGTAGTCACATGGTGGAGACGTGGGGTTTGTGTCTCACTATTCCCAACCCTGAACTCAGATGGCAGAACTTGCACTTGCTTCTGGATCAAACTGAAGCCTGAAACACAACAAATCAATATGTCTTACGATATCTCAATATGCCTTAATCACTTCATTCAATTTTTTTCTGATTAAGTTGACCTTTAGCTATGTTTTGTCCTTAAAGGACACACAGGGGATCTGTGACAGAACATAAACCTGAAAACAGATCTAACTTCCGCTAAATTTCTTACCAACAGAGCTACATGCATAAAGGTTAGGCTGTTGTAAGACTGTAGGATTATGGAAGCATTTTTAAATCTTGGTGTTTACATATACTTATACATCAGTAAAAAATTACTCCCAATTCAAGAGCAGAAAAAGAATATATTATAAAAATCTCCTCAATATTATAACAGGCAATAAAAATATATATGTTGTGTGGCATATCAATGTCCAATGAAATAAAATAAGAGCAACAACATGAATGATAGGAACTATTAAAAAATAACCTACTGGTTAAAAGAATGACATTTTGTAGAGGAAATTATAAACAGTGAAAATACCCATAGAAACTAAAATGGGCAAAATTATTCAGTAAACAGGAGGAAGAAAATTACTGGAAGTAAACAGAGATCTGAGATTTCATTTTTCTATTTGTAGGCTATAAAAATTATAAAACTATAAAAATTTTTCTTAGTTCCTTTCCCTCTGTCACTTTACACAGTAATGTAAATTTGTACTCCTCTGAGTTATTGTAATACAAATAAATTTCAAATATAATCCAAAACTAAGTAGTTGCTTATTGAAAATCAGTTTCCATACGTATGTTCATTTTTCACAGAGCAAGATTATTATAGCAAAACTTGAGCATGTGGTGTTTCTTCTCCTTACAAAGTATGATCACAATTACATATGTTTTCAAATGTTAAGTCAAACTCTCTGAAAATAAACCTACAGAAGAGTACCAGAAGCACAGACTTACATGTCTGTTTCCTCACTTTTGTGAGAAGTCTGCTTTTAATAAGTTCAAGGGCATGCAAATAGACAATAGAGAAAAAAACCTTTTAATGTGTTTTTATAAAAAATTATAATAGGGTTTTCTACAGAAAGAATAAAATTGAACAGCACCAAATCAGCCAGCAAAGGAAATTCTAGCAGAGAAAATGAACTTTCTCAATGTTTATGGAAAAATAACTTGCAAGCAGTCCCATCCAAAATATCAGAGACTATAATTTTGATACTAAATCTATTACATTTACACTGGAAAACCTCACCTGCCATGCACTTATGCTCCCAAAGAAATGTATACCAAAAAGAGAGATCCATCCTTCCTTCCCAAAAGAAGAGTATACCAAAAAGAGAGATTATCCAACCTTCCGTCCTCCCTCCCTCCCTTCTTTCCTTGGAAGAAAAGAGAAGTGCAAAATGCCTTCATTTTCTGGATATGAATTACAGAAAAATGAAATGCTAAGGAGGGTCTGGTAAAAGATCATTACAAAGGAAATTAAGCTTTAGGGGGAAAACGAGAACAAGGAAATTATCGTCAATATAAGAGTATAATCTTTGCTTGAATAACTAACTCACCAAGGAGAACTGCAAGAAACCTTTTGAAAACAATCAATAGCATTATTCTAACACTCAGCTCCTCATTTCAAGTGCACTGATTTTACTTCAGACTTAGGCCAGTAACTGACCAAAATTTGGTCTAAAATATTTAAAAGTTTTCTAATAATTCATTATGTCAGTAAGTAAGAAAAACTCATTGAAGTTATAACAGGGCTTTTGTAATCGTTCTCAAAGCAGCTATATTTTTATAGATTGCAAAGGGATGAAAAGAGCCACAGTAAAAAGATTTATTAAAGAAAGACTAAACATAGTAACATATGCTACACGATGACAGTAAAGAACATAAATAAGCAGAAGAGAAAACACAGTTACCCAGTTCCTGCTATTTTTAATAAATATCACTAACAGGGTAACATTCAACTGCCAGAAGAAAGGAGGTTGTTATACTCTGTTACTACGTCTGGCCCTGGCTTGCCATTTCGGAAGAGCACAAGTTTCTTGTAGATTCAAGGCCTTATCTGCCTGCTTCTGAAGTCTTGGATATCCTAGGATGTGTGAAATAGTATTAGATTCTGTTATTTATGAATCTGAATCACTTGCAAGCTGTTAGTAGAAATTTGCGTGAGCCGTAAGTACTTACATGTTAAGTAGCAAGAGTAAAATTAATAAAACAGAAAATCATCGTGTGCTATGCCCACACAAGACTTTCAGGTCAGGGTACAAAGAGAAAATTCTAGAAAGTTCCTTAAATAAAGGTGTCTTTGTACAAATCCTTTACTAGCAGTAAATATAAAGTACTTAGAGTTAAATCTCACCTCTGACTGCTGACTCACTGTGCAGTAAACCAGCTACTGGTGTTTCCTTTATGGTTTGAAAAGCTGTTCTTACTACCTTTCATTCCCTTCAGTTTTTGACATATTCTGCAATTTCAGAGCTCTATTTTATTTAATATGCTTAGCAGAATAGAACACTTTTTAGACTTTAGAATTGGCTGAACTTTCATAAACCCTGATTATTTATGGCCAAGGTCACAACTACATTTTTTCTTGATCTTTTAGTTTAGTTAAACCCCGAGTAAGGATTATTCTCCTGCATAAAACTTGTATATTAAACTAACCTATTCTATATATACTGCACTTCTTTTTCTTCTTTCAAGAATGCCAGATGGAAACACACCACAGAATAGTTACATGCCTGGTATGCTAATATTTTTATACTTCTGCATTTGAATTAAGCAGATGGGGATTAGGTAATTCTGTATGGCTATCTCTCCAAAACCAGTTTAGTTAAGGTATACATTCTAAATTCTAAAAAAATTTTCTCTGTGATCTGCTGCAGCAAAGATATTCACTCATACACTATTGACTGGAAATGTTTTTGTACATCTAATCAATAAACTAGTTAATATGTGTTAAACCAATCTTCTAGACTATTTGTCTTGTTCAGCCTAACTAATACAAAGCTGTGAGTGATTCATTTCAGAGCAGAAGTACA